CAATATGCGTTTTGTATTGCTGTTACATAACACAAAACGCATAAAAAAGTTAAACTCTATCACCTTCCATTATCATCCGGCAGGAAAGGATCGGCACCGTAGAACATCAGTAGCTGACAGATGGCCAAATTATCCCAAGCAGCGGCCACATGCAGTGCTGTTAAGCCTTCCGCTTCACGTTCGTTGACATGCCGTTGCCCTGTTTTCAACAGATTCTGGATGGCATCCAATGCTGTCGGGCTCCTACTGGCAGCTAACAGATGTAGCACGTTGGTGTGCGATGATGATGACGATCCGCATTCCATCATAGCTAAAAATATTCCAACTTTTCAATGGAATAATGTCATTTTAAGAAGGGAAAAAAATATCCAAGCGAAAAATCCGTACCAAAAAGGGAACCTCTTGCTTGAATCAGGGGCTTTGGTCGACTTCAATGGGGTACCCTATTTTTGGTGTAGATGTTTGGGGCACGGTTAGCGAACAACAGGCAAAACTCAGTTGAAAATGGTGCACAACCTCGCCAGATAAAGAGGCCAGGATTTAGTTAAAAAAAAAAAACCCCACTCAGCGCGGAAGAATTATTTTGCGTTAAAAAGCTAATAATAGAGTTAGGGAACGCCAGGTGAAGACTCCAACTGAGTTCCCCTGTTCCTCGCTTAAAGATGGAATCATTTTGAATTAGTCAACAATACTTTTCGAGGGCTAAAAAGGAAGGATGGGAGGGAAGAAAGCAAAAGAAGGGTGCTAATGACTACTATCATTTGCTCAATGATAATAACAACAATAATAATGGCAGCAGTAATAATATTATAGTAATAATAATAACAATGACGGGAGTAATATAAGCATAACTATAATTCCCTTAATGATGATGATAATAATGATAATGATGATAACAGTAATAATGATAATAATGATAATAATATTAATAATAATAGTAATAATAACAATAATAATAACAGCAATAATAATAACGATAATAATAACAGTAACAGTAATAATAACAGTAATAACAACAGTAATAGCAGCAGTGGTAACAATAATAATAATAACAGTAACAGTAATAATAACAGTAATAACAACAGTGGTAACAATAATAGCAATAACGACAATAATATAAATTTGTCTAAGTGTCTGGAAAGAAAAGTGATCTAAATTTATGAAATTTTCTATGGAAACTTATTTTGGAATACGCAATAGTCGATCTCTACCATAAGCTATTGCAAAAACTTCGACAACAGCAACAAAGGGCGGATGAATACCCATCGTATCATAGTGCCTTAATGGCCCATTGTGACATAACAGCACTTTTCTGGTTCCCGAGCTAGCCATTTTCCCGCCAAAAGCCTAAGCATCATAGCAAAAATCACAGGCGGATCTAGGGGAAGGAAGAGAAGGGCTAGGGGTCTTTCGGCACAGGCACCACTGCTGCAAAAGCGCAGGTCTAAAGCTAGAACTAAAGCCTAAAGAAACTCTAAGTAGCAGTGTTACAACTCCATTCCTAGTTTTTGGCATACTTCCAAGGTGGGAGGG